CGTTAAGCTTATTTAGGTAGAACATTTGAGCTGTCTTGATTGTCACTACTGATAAAGTAATGAACTGGATGTGTTATGTACATGAACAGAGCACTTTATTGATAAAGAACTATTACTATTATTAATTCCATCAGATGAGACCAAATCCACATTTTACTTCNCCCCGCGGGGGGGAGGGAGAGGTAACTCCCACATGAAAAGGTTGAGGATGCTCGTCGTCTCGCTTAGGGGTGTGAATCAAGGCGGTTTGTCTCATTTAGAGTGTTCAGGACGAAATGCCGCTATTTTTAGCTGTCAAAGTATCTTTTAGGGTTGCACTCGAAGATGTAACAATTAAAAACGCTCTGAGTTCCGTTTTTGAGCTCGATTTCTGGGCTCCTTTCCCGAACAGCGGGTTGGTAATCAAGCCTTAAGTGGTATCTTTTAGGGGTCAAATAAAGCTCGAGCTACGTCCAGATTGGTCTTCCTTAGGGGTTAATTCAAATTTTTTGACGAGCACTCCCGACCTTTTCATGTGGGAGTCCTTCCCAGGGCTGGTCGCCTTTAGGATTATCCTGGGGATTCGAGAATTATTGTGAAGGTCGTCAATCAATCAGCAGTTGATAACTATCTGTTGGTAATTCATCATTTACAGGTTGTGGAGGTGGTAAGATTTGAGATGGGGGTAATTTGAAGGTCGGGGGATTCGAATCATGGTGAAGGAACTTTTTTCTCGCCAAGCTATGAACGGATGGTTCTTCTTCATATAGGCATTGGAAAATAAAAACGTCCAGTCATAAAAAAGTGTAATCTTACTTGTGATCTAAACAGAATTCGCGGAGGAAAAACACTTGTCGGGTGTAAAGCCTTCGCTCATGATTTTTGGCAACGTTTCGGTTAAAAGCTGTCAAAGTCATCGTTGGATCGAATTATACACCCAGCTTTTTGTCTACCAAATAGTCTTTAACCTGGGACGCCTTTGATTCCAGCCGTGAACGATCAGTTCATCGCTTTCGCAGCCATTTTGTCCACAATTCCGTTCACGAATAATTTATAAAAGTTTACGGATGATCGACCAACCAATAAAACGTCCAACCAACAGCCCAGCCGTTCAGCTGACCGATCGACAGTTCATTTGCATAAATCTGGTCACC